TAGCGATCCAAGTTAAAGAGCCTTGAGCATTTAAGTCTACTGTAATAACTTCATTGGCAGTCGATAGAATAGTTTCGTCAATTCCAGCAACAAATACACCTAAAACGATACCTAGTAACATTATAAACAGCTGCTTTTTAGTTAATTGTGTATCTGGTATATCTTCTTTATTAGCAGCTTCTAAATCGCAGTTCTCTTTGAAATTTAATTCATTTGCAAATTCCTCACCAGGTAGTTTTTCATTCATAGTAAAAAATTAATTAAAGATTATCAGTTTTGTATAATATATTGAAAATATAAAGCATATGGTGATTATCGAGGCTGATAAGTCGCCTATTTATACTAATTTCAATTTTCCATTAACCCTGAGTACTTTTCTAATTTAGAGATGTTATTTGTTAAATTTTCCATTAAGACATTCCATATGTTATAATACTTGTGTAGCCCGAATTTTATTTAATTTAAAGAATACATCAGCCTTTTAAAAACTCATAGTTTTGGTTTCAGCTGATGTCAATCAATTTGATAGCTATCAATTATTTGATAAATTAATCGGAGCTTAGTTGATTGTTAGCTTACTTACCTTTGACATTATGAAAATTCTGCCATTTCAAACCGGACTATCATAAATACCAGGGGAACTAATTAGGGGACTTTCGCTGTTTAAAAGTACTTAATTTAGTAATCAAAAATTATAATAAAACCGAACTTATTTTAGTTAAAAGCTGAGGTGGATGAGATAATTTTTGATTAATAAAATTTTTGAATAACCGATTGAAAAAGGCTTATGATACTCCTAAATTCCCTATTTTATTAAAATAAATTTGAAAAGTTTTAATTAAGGCATTTGGTAATATGAATTTTTTACTAAATTAGAATTCAATTGGGAACCTTGTAAAGTTTTTTAATCATATGCATATTTTAACCATTAATAATTGATATTTTTTGTGTAATGTTTTTGATCTTGCCAAAGTTGACGTCTGGGATTTTAAATTATTATGTTTAGTGCGATAAAGCAAGACTTTCTATGCTTTGTTTTATTATATTACTAATAGCTAAAACTTTGAGATTAGATTTCGTACTACTCGCCGAATTCAGTTAATGACAGATACTGTTTATAAATAGTCTGATTTATATTAAACTATGATAATATTGAGAAAATAAATATTTATGCTAACCTAGATTTTAACCTAAAATATTATTTTGTTAAATCGCTATTTATAATAACTATTTAAAGAGTAGTATACAATATTATCAATTTCAAATAATATACTAATAGGTCAGGATTATAATTAATATTCATTTTAATCTCAATATATGCAAATTATATACAATGTGTGCTGTAAATATATATTTAATAAAATAAAACCGAAACAGTAGCTATCTGCTACTTGAATATTTTCAAAGTAAAAATACTACTTTAAAAAACTTAACGCTTAATTGAAAAATCAGATTAGAGCTTTATTTGAATGCTTATAACATTTCCATTATTAGTTTTATTTTAATCCCTTATTATCACTCCACTTAAATTATTTATTGAAATAGAATATTCATTATCATTATACTAAACAGAATAATATATTTTTAACCAATACGTTTGCTAAGTTATTTAGAATAATATTTAATTATCTTATATTTTAAAAATTAATCTTGTATACAAATTATTAATGATAAACTAGTTTATTATTTTTGTCTATAAAGAGTTGAATATTATTAAGAGTGTAAAGAGATCTAGAATTTTGATTTTATTATAATCTAAATTTAGATTAATAAGTCTTCTTAGGCTTGAAAATATGTCATATTTTGGCGAAAATTGTAATATGAAAGATTCTGGTTAAAACCAAGACAAATTTGTCGAAAAATTTTTATATGAAGAATTTTCAATATTTTTGATTTTTAGCTGCTTAAAGCTTAGTAAAAAGTAACTTTTATATTTAAAGTTGATAATATAGATTTTAATATTTTCATCATCTATTCTATATTAAATAAAGAATATACACGATGAAAACTTGGTTATAAAAAATAAAATTTTTGAACTGAGCTCTTACAAAACTTGATCAAATTAACCAGAATTACTTATATAATCAATATTATTAGAGCTTAATTAGCAAATAATTGACTGGTAAAATATGTACTAAGATTATTATATTGAAGCGAATTAGCCTTAAACTAAAAATAAAAGTTGTTAAAAAAGTATAAAACTTGTGAAATTTTAATTATGAGTGTATTGTTGATTTTCAAATACTTCATTTATAATTAGGCATATGAGTAATTCTGGTTAAAATGAGGAAAATTTATCCTAAATTTTTTATAGGCCAAATCTACAATATTTTTGTTATTTTATAAGTTTAAATCTTCTAAAAAATCTCTTATGTTAGTTAAAGTTAACAAAATAGTGTTTCAATATGATATTATAAATTGATCTCTTTTAATAGGCGCTATAAATACAGATAACTCGCTTATACTACGATTAGAATTTTGAACTGAGCTCATACAAAATTTGAATCAAATTAACCAGAATTACTCATATCACAATGATAAACTTAAATAGCTGATAAATGCATTAAATTATATGTGAGAGATTGTTATTTTAGCTAAAAGTGCTAAATATTAACAATATACTAGCTGTATCTTACATACTAACATTATTAATTGAGCTATGTTAATTCATTATCAATTTTAAACTATTATACATTTTCAATATAAAAGATGGCTTAAATTCACACATTAAGCCATTGACATGAATAATTGAATGATGTCTTCAAAATCAGCGAAAAATGAAAAATGTGGCGTCTTAATGAAATCACATCCAAAGAATTGCGAAAAATAATTAATATTTTTATTAAATATTTTTATATTGATCACTAGTTTAATAATACATTTTATCTATCAATAATCTTGATATTTCATAACGCTTTGCTATGTTATTATAATTATTGTATTCATCGTATAAAAAGTCGTTGGCCATTCTAGTAACTATTAAAGAACTATCACTTATGTACAAGATTATAAACTCCAACTCAACCCAATACAATTCTAACTTATGTCGATTCAATTAGAAATCTCTATAATTTTTAATAAAATTAATAGAATTCCTATTGTACCTATTCAACTCTCTAAAATCTATCCTCTCCTTATTATTAATTAGAATATCTTCAATTAATTTATATTCTATTTCTTCCTTTGAAAATCTAATGTTATTACTATTGCCAGCGCTATTTTGATTATCTTTAACTTCTACCTTTTTGTTTGCTTTATTGTTTTCAAACCTCTTAGAAAATCGACTGCTATCCGTTAAAGTGGTGGTATTTAGGTAGTTTTCTAATCTAAGGATATTGATACCTAGTATATTCTGGCTTTCTATAAGATTAACTGGCTCATGCTTATCTAATTTAGTAGATGGCTTATTAGTAGCTTTATAAGATCCAGGTTTTGAACCAACTTCGCTGGTAACTTTTTCTTCGACATTAGGCTTAGTTATATAATCGGTAATTTTAGATTTTTTACCTATTTTTAATTTCGTTTTCTCAACTGAGGAGGATGCTTTCCCCACCTTTTTATCTTGTTTTAATACCTTTATTTCAGCTGAAGAGACAGTTACTTCTACTTTTTCTAGCTTTTTATCAGTTGATTTTCCGTCATTTATAATATGTATACTCCCCTTTTCTTTCTCTTTTCCCTTTATCCTTTCGTTCTTAGCATCTTTTCTTACTGTGTTTTTGTCACTAGAAGTTTCAGCGGTTACTTTTTTAGGCGTTTGCACAGTTGAGTGTTGTTTACAATAATCAGAAGACTCCAACTTTATTAGCCTGCATCTGAATTTATACTTTCCTATAGACTTAATAAATTTACACTGAGAGCTATAAGTATATTTTTGAGAAAGAGGTTGTGGTTTAGCAGATTCTTTTGAATCTTCTTTTGGATCTTCTTTGTCAACTTTGGCTTCAGAAACTACTTTTTCAGATTTAATTGCTAGATTAAGATGTAAATTGCAATAAAGAGAGGCTATTGCCCTTGGATTTTTGCATCTACGATATTTTTTCTTATCTTTAACAAGTTTACTACATTTATTATCATCAGCAGCATTATTATCAATATTGGACATAACTAACATTTTTTAAAATTATTATTAAATTAATAAAGGGAATTTGAGCTATTTATAGTGAAATTTTGTTGCAAAATTATGACGTTGTGGATAAAAACTTTAAATGGTAATTTTACACTGATTTAGTATGTAAGTTACACAATTCTACAGAGTAAGTAAAATATATAGCTCTTTAGCCAATTACTATAATTATAGTTAAAATATATCATTAATCCAATAATATCAATGATAAGTAAAATTAATACAGAAGATACTGTATATATAACTTTGCCAAGTACTGAAATGTTATATCTGAAAGCATAGCTATTTAACGCATACAAATAATCTTTGGTATAGTGCTTAAGCTATTTTTAAAATATTTGATATGTTAAAATACGTAAGAAATTTTAAAGTTAATGTAATAATATCTATTTTCAAGCTTTTAAACCTGTAATGGTTATATATTTTAGATTCTATATTCGTTTATTATTTTAGTGTAGATATGCAATTAGCTCATAACCCTATTTAATAATAAATTCACTTATTTGACACATTCTGAAATATTCAACTAAATTACTAAAATCAACTCTTCTACATAAATTTAAAACTGATGGCAATATTACATAAAAATAAGTTGTTATAATTGAATATTATATTTATCAAACTAGCTTTAGTTAAATGATTAGTGAACTAATACTGTTAATGATATTGCGTTATCCTTTGTTTAATATAAAATAGTTCTTTTATATATGAGATAGTTTTTAAATAATAACGGCAACTATACATTATATTAATTTTTTTAGTAATTTATAAAAATGTTATATTACCTGATTTTCATTTGATATGCTACTATGCTCCTTTGATAAATCAAAAATATTCTAAAAATATTAAGTATTATTTTTAGTTTTTAAAATAGAGGGCGCACTCGGGGTTGAACCAAGGGCCTATTGATTTGCAGTTGATTGCTCTGTCACTGAGCTATATGCCCTTAATCAATATGTAAGCAGAGTTAGCAATTTTTATTAAAATTTAACTGCTGTTTTTACAACATAACTATTAAAAACTAACATGCTTTGTATAATTAATGATATAATATAAATAGCACTTTGCTTAAATATACGATACTGTCGATTATATCAAATATCTAAATAAACAATATAATTTTATTATAATATACTCAATAACGTTATTAATAAATAAATTATATAAATAATAAAGAGTATATGTAATTGATAGTTATATTTATTTACAAAATTACTATTGGATTGCTATTATAATACATAAGATTTAAATCTAAATAAATGCAGTGTTAATAAATCTTCTAATAAAATAGTTATAAAAAGTATTATTAAAATCAGATAAATGCACAAGAAAACCCTTTTTATCTTCATCAATTGAGTAAAGAGTCTCAATTTTGGGACAAGGATGACAAAAATTTTGGCTTTTCATCAAAAAAATTATAGTAATAATTGATTATTGGATTACCTTTTAGTTAAATTTTAAATTTAGAGGGAGGATTGGCCATAAAGCAGGATTTTCAGATTGGCAAGCTTCTCTAAATTGGTTGTCTAATTGACTCTCTAAGCTAGCTATGGTTAGAGCTTTTTTACTTGAGTAGAGATCTTTATACTCTTCGAAAGATGGTAAATCTCCTGGTAGATAGTCCTCTTTGTCAACGTAGCATAAAGCTTCTTCCCTTTCTTTTTCTGCTTGGAGAATTTTTTCTTCTAAAGTAAAAATAAGTAAAAAGTAATATGGCAATATATTTTATAGTAGTTACTTTCTAACTTCCAATTTTGCGAGTGTTGAAAAATTTCTATCATCTCTGGAGTCAATAAACTATATTCTTCTTCATTCTCTTCTTCATGATACTCTTCAGCTACTTCTTCCTCTATGATTACTTCTTGTTCGAGAGCTATATCATCAATGTATTGATTAACAATAGGTTCTGGAGCACTTCCAGCTAGATCTTGCTCCTCAGTTAAATTATGAGCATCGCCAGATGTCACTTGATATTCCTGGTACCAATTCGTATTAAAAGATTGCTCAACACTTTTAGGCAAAGCAAATTGTCTAAACTGACCAGCTTTATTATGAAAGTGTTTATAGTAAAATTCACTTAATTTATTATAGTAAGTATACTGGCTATTATTATCATTGTTACTATTATTTTTATTTGGTGCTTTAGGCATTTTAACAATTTTATGTTGAGGATATTGTGAATTAATTTATATTAAAATTCGAAATATATTAGCTTAATTTTGTTTTATGGGATAATAAAAATTATAAAAATAATAGCTTGTTAAATGGTTATATAATATTACAATTATTATTGTTATTTCAGCAAATTAAATCATTGCTCAGGTTATATATATAGATATATTATATAAAATTTCTATTCAAAATATATATATTAATTTACTCAACTTTTATATTACGTAAACACAAGAGATTATTATGATGTTAATAAAATATATTTGATATAAATCATTTTTAATATTCATATAAGCTAACTTT